TTTTTTTTTTGCGGTTTGGCGCGCAGCATACACAATTTTCAGCGAAGTGAAGGGTAACAGCCAATCTGCACGCCATGTCGTCCATCCCTGATGAGCTTTTTGGCAATTGGTTGCTGACGACGTTCAACGGATTGGATCTTTCAGATCAAGGAGGACCGTTTTTGATGTTATTGGAACCTGCAGGAGGACTTGTGTACCTTGATATTCAAATTACTAACATACTGAACGGCTTACTGGAGTACCGAGATGGCCAGCTTTATGGACATTTGGTTTCAACACGAATGCTTGGACCACCGTTACATATGCAGATTGAGCAAGCATTTGGTGCTGGATTTGAAGCTGGAATGAACGTCCTTATTGAAGAAGCTGGGATGATCTTCTCTCAAGGCGGGAACACCTTTTTCTTTGTGGCCCAAACCGACTCCTCACAACAGTGAACAGCGGAGGGCAAAAGAGCGTTTTATTTGTTTTACTTGTAACCTCGTTTTTTCCTTTTTTAGGAGCATTTGAAAATGATGATCGTGGGAGGGCTGGCTGCCCTAATTAATGTGTATGTATCCTGATAAAAGGAATGCTCCTCCTTACGACACTTTTCTATCGTATGAATTCTTGGAAGAACACGACTTCAGGGGAGCAGGGAGGCGATGGCGGCTGGATAACTCTTATTTTTATTTTGCCTTCCCACCCACCCTCTTTTGATTCCCACCATGCGGCGGCGTCCCTTTGGTTGGAAGAACCCAAAGTCTGCCACTTCGTAAGAAATAAATAAATAAATAAATAAAAAATATACATCCCATCCGAATAGAGTGAGCGGGCCGCGACTGTGGCTAACGGATGATATATAAATATACACTTCCTAGCTTTTACACCTTGAGGATATGGTGAATCCACTCCTGTTCCATTCATCCCTTCTTATTTCTATCTGTTTGTCTTCTATTATATATAACCTGAGGATTCGGCCAGCGGCCCAGAAGATTATTTTCTTATGAATTTTCCGAAGAGTACGACTTAAGGAACCGGGGAACCAACAACGGTGGGATGAAATTATTTATTTTGGTTTTACCATCCGACCCGCCCTTTCTCAATTCTTGTCCTCGCGGCGGTGTCCCTCTGGTTGGAGGACCCCAAAGTCTGCCACTTCGTAGGGAATGATTTTTCTAATCCCAACAGAGTGCGGAGTGCCACGAGGGTGGCCGTCCGAATATATAAATATATGCATGGAGAAAACAGTGAGGCGAATTGACTTCATCTCCGTTTACCTCCTCTCCCTATCTTGTTTCTCTTCTTTAGTTAGGTTTAGGATCAGGCCAGCAGCCCAGGCGAATACTCGAATTGGGAAAACCACCGCGTCGTCCACTCTGGCACCACCACTATTTTACGCCCCCGATACGACATGCATTTTCTCAATGAATAATCAATGGATTCCCTGTTCCGCCGCCAAACAGATGGCGGAGAGCTGTAATTGGAAGAGCGGGAGAACGGCGTGGATGCGCGTTCTGGAGGGCCTCAGTCCGCATCGGTGTACCGAAAAAGGACGCGTTTTCTTTGCCTCTGTCGGTTGACAGGCGGGGGAACAGGCCTTCCTGCCCTATGGAGCGGCTTCCCAGGGAGCATTGCACGATTGGCCACGCCCCGCTTCTTTGTGTTGAATTTCCCGACGCGCGCAGTGGTGGGTTTCACAAGGAAAGTGGGATTCCCCGATTTTGTGGTCCCTGCATGCAGAGCATGACTCTCTCTTTGCACAGCGTCTCTCTAAATACCGGTCGCTTATTTGTGTGCCTCGTCATTGCGGAGAAAATAGCCTTGCTTGAGACCGCACGATACAGCACGGTTTTAGCCCCGACATTGCACGAGCCAGTCAACTCCCACAGTGGAAAGAGACGCATCTTTTTCTTTTGAGCTTTTAAAACTTTTTGAGCTGCTTTTCTGAATTACGCAGCAAGTGGTCGAGACGTAAAGAAGTCTTTCTTTTTGGTGATATTGCTTCAGCCTCCACTTTGGGGCGGAAAGGCTCTTTTCCCAGGCATAGCTTCACCTGAAGAGGAACCGAAAAGATTTGCTCAGCAGCGAGGGCCCGTGGATGCTTCCCAGGATGCTCTCTCCCACGCACAAATACCCCTTGAACAAATTTTTGGCTTTGTTTTTTTGCTGGTTTTATTATTTGATCATTTTCTGGCCTGTGGATTATTGCCTTTTTACTTTTCCTCTTTTCTTCTCTTTCAGTGCAGTTGTTTTACAGCACGCGACTCTCTGGGATGGTTTCCTATGATGTTTTGCCGCAGCCCTTCCAACGAGGGAGATGGGCTCCTCTGCACACCCACTCAATGGGAACGGACGCTCTTTTTTTTCTGCGTGGCTGTTGTGCAGAGACACCGATGGAAGTCGGAGGGAAATGAGTTAAGACCCGTTGTTGCGGCGACAGCACTTCGTCCAGGTGTTTTGTTTGGCATTTTTATCTTCTCGGAATGCCCCGGAAAGAAACGATTCGCATGGATTTTTGTTGAAGATGCAAAGCTGCGGCAAACGTAGCTGCAATTTTCATTGGACCGGGCTTCAGATTTCTACTGAAAGAACAGGCGCACAATGCTGCCATCAGACGGTGCTTGCTGCTGCAGCGAAGATAATGTTTTTTTGTTTTTATGATCTGTGTTATTCTGGGTGCCGTCACGGACTTAATGAAACGTTTGACGTCTACTAACGACGCGTTCTCTTTAATTACTGATGTTGACTACGCCCCATGAAATCAGAAAAACAATAATAACAATGATATTTGATAAACTTGACGCCAAAAAAAAAGATGTGGGTCATTAGCGGCAAATGAGTCTAAAAGACGTAAAATACCGTTCTCTCACATTTCTAACCACACACTTCATGCATCATTGGATACCGTTGCCCTTAAAAAAGGAGGTTTGCTCAACAACCAGAGCGATTGAGTTGTCTCTTATTTTGTATTTGAGGCTGACACCGTTATCAAATCCCACCTTAAAGCCTTTGAAAAGCCACACGCATGCGTTTTCACGCAACTTGGCGATAACTCCATTGCCATATAATCTGCCCCGTAGAATCTAAGCCAACAATTCCCACAAAGAAAAAGAAAAGCAACCGGCTCAACCTGGCACCCGATGAGAAAGACAGTCTTGGCGCCTACGGGCTGGGCCAGGCCAAAGGAAGCGATGCTCCAGAGGAAGAATGAAATATTTCCACGATAAAGTTGGAAGCTGCCGGAGAAATGCTGCAGGTTCGCGTTGTAATCGTCAACGTAATGTCCGGCACACTGGAGTATGGGCATGGCACGCTTACTGGACCTCTGGTTTCAACAATGATTGCGGGAGAAGGCCTTTTAGAAGAGATTGAGGAAGCATTTGTTGCTGGATTTGAAGCTGGAATGAACGTCCTTATGGAAGAAGCTACGATGACCTTCTCTCAAGGCGGGAACACCTTTTTCTTTGTGGCCCAACCCGACTCCGCACAACAGTGAACAGCGGAGGTCAAAAGAGCGTTTTATTTGTTTTACTTGTATTCTTGTTTTTTCTCATATTTTTTTTTTGTTTTTTACCCTTTAAAATTTTTGTGATGCGTGGCGTGTGTGGTTTGTTGCAGTTGGTGGTGCGGCCTGTGTGAGCGACAGTTGTTTGGTCGAGTGCAGTTGGATTGTGTGGATTTCTTCTTTCTTCCCCTTTCTCTGGATTTGTTTTGTGTGTTTGCGTGGGTGCTTGGCGTGGCATCGCCTGACGATGTCGACGCCGCGCTGGGGAGGGTGGCTGACGGCGGGTCGCTTGACGTGCGTGGCTTTGCTCGCGCCATGTGTGCTGAGGCGTGCAGCAGCATCCAGAGGCTTTTGCGTGAGTGTGCGGAGAAGGCGGGGGCACTTGATGAGGAGGTGAGAGGGCTTGTGGAGCGCAACAGGGCGGAGGAGGATGCGCTTCGGGGGGCTGCGACCGGTGCTGCGCATGCGGAGATGGGTGCTCTTCGAAACGAGCGGTACGCCGAGTTCTCACGGCGGCGGGCGCGTGTGTTGGCTGAGCGAGCCGCTGAAGGGGCGGTGGCTTCTCCGACCTCGGCCGGCGGAAGGAGTTGTGTGTGTGTGGGCGGCTGCGGTGCCTCATTGTGCATCTGCGCCCGGACGCCGTTTTTGACCTTTGCAAGTTTGGCGACGTTGCGCATGTGTTGTTGGGCTGGCGCACCGCCATGCAGACGTTGCGGGCGCAGTGCGACTCTCTTAGTGAGTCCGTTCCTGCCGGCGTCCCGAATGTCTCTGTGCGCGTCCTGCTGGTAAATGGCTTTCGGTGCACTCCCAGTTGCACAGGCGGTGCCTGCAGGCTTGCAGAGACGGATGTCGAGGCGGTGGCGGTGGGGGCGTTGTGGCCGAGGATTTGTTCGTGCAGTGGCCTGGTGCTGTGGACATGCGCTCTCTGCTCACCGGCAACCGACTGCGGTGTATTTGTGACCCCGCCTGCGGGATGGCGCGGAGTGATTTGTGGTTGGTGGGGGACGGCCACGACACTCTGGGCATTGTTCGCCACACGCGTCTGCACCACTCCGCCGTCTTTCGTGGATTTTTCTTTTCCGAACAGCTGCGGGCGTGGAGTGTGTTGGCGCGCAGGCAAACCTGATGCTTCCCCTGTTTGGGGCGACCGGGAGCGAGTCCCAGAAGCGTGTGGAGAGACGCGCTGTCGATGTGTTTGAGAGCCTACGTGAGCAGGAGGAAGGCCCTCCTTCTGCGCGCACGAGTGCTGCTGTGCTGCTCCCTGTGCATGGCGACGCGTCAGCTGCTGCCGACGACTCGCTGCCGTTGGGGTCTGTGGTTCTTGACATTCGTCCCCTGGCACCGAGTCTTTCCTTCGCGCGGCACTTCAGATGTGCCGAGACATGTGCGCTGGTGTGCGCCTTGCATGGTGTGTCCGTGCTGCAGCGTGAGTGCCTGTGCTGCCTGTGCACCGTTGCCTCCGTCTTTTTCTTTCCCTTTTTTTTTTGCGGTTTTGCGCGCAGCATACACAATTTTCAGCGAAGTGAAGGGTAACAGCCAATCTGCACGCCATGTCGTCCATCCCTGATGGGCTTTTTGGCAATTGGTTGCTGACGAAGTTCAACGGATTGGATCTTAGAAATGAAGTACGTCGGTTTAGGATGAGGTTCTCGCGTGCCCAAAATGACGTGGAGGTCCGTGCCTTGGTGGTCAATGTAATGAGCGGTTTCATGGAGTATCGAGATGGCAAGCTTACTGGGGGAATGGCTTCTACTTTATCTTTGGCACCACCGTTTTTTATGGGAATGGAGAATTTCCTTCGTAATGGGTTTGCAGCTGGAATGGATGTCCGTCTTGAGGGAGACGTATTAACTCTCATTCACGGCGAAGACGTTTTAGTGCTTACTGCGGAGTAAATTGACTCCGTACTACAGTGGCATATGGAGGGTACAAAGCGTTGATTTGTTTTAATTATTACACCGTCCTTTTTATTTGTCGTTTTTTTTCTTTTGTAGGCGGCTGTGAAGTGAATGTTTTCGAGGAGTGCTGGCTAACTAAATTATTATATACATATACATATATATATACATATATAATGTTCCGTTAAAACGAATATGTTTTTTTTGATGATTTCCTTCCTACCCCAACGATGAATTCGTACATTGTCGCGGTGTTGGGCCTTGGCTGCATATAGGAACTGCGCAGCAGGGCGTTGCTGCGAGCACGACGGAGACCAAGACGACTCCACCCCTCGAGAGTGTTCCACGCCATGCCCGGTGCGGGGAGGTGAGGCGGTCTGCCTGCAGACTGTCGGAAAAAGTGCGCGACCGTTTCGCAGCGGTCACTCCGTTGATATCACCCATTGCGGTGACGTCCACAAGAACCCTGGCACCGAGGAGAATGGCTACATCACTAATTGGCAGCGTAACATTGCGGGCCTCGTGTCCGTAAAAAGATTGCATCTGCCGCGCGATTGGGGCAGCATCAACCTGACACCGTTCTTCTCCAGAAAACAAATAACCGGAGAGACGTGGTGAATAAATTTTTTAGGAGTTTTTGAAAAGAATGATCGTGGGAGGGCTGGCTGCCCTAATTAATGTGTATGTATCCTGATAAAAGGAATGCTCCTCCTTACGACACTTTTCTATCGTATGAATTCTTGGAAGAACACGACTTCAGGGGAGCAGGGAGGCGATGGCGGCTGGATAACTCCTATTTTTATTTTGCCTTCCCACCCACCCTCTTTTGATTCCCACCATGCGGCGGCGTCCCTTTGGTTGGAAGAAACCAAAGTCTGCCACTTCGTAAGAAATAAATAAGTAAATAAATAAAAATATATACATCCCATCCGAATAGAGTGAGCGGGCCGCGACTGTGGCTAACGGATGATATATAAATATACACTTCCTAGCTTTTACACCTTGAGGATATGGTGAATCCACTCCTGTTCCATTCATCCCTTCTTATTTCTATCTGTTTGTCTTCTATTATATATAACCTGAGGATTCGGCCAGCGGCCCAGAAGATTATCTGGCTATAATGACTTTTATCGGGCCCCCACTTGGCGCGGTGGTGGCGTTGCCGTTCTGGTGCGCCACTCTCTACCGTGCGAGCGCCTGTCGCTCCCTGGCACTGACCTCCTGGAGACCATTGCTGTCCGTGTATTTCCACCGGGCTGTCGCAGCATTTGCGTGGCGAATCTCTACAACCCTCCCATGGAAACTGTTCAAGAAACCGCATTTATCAATATCGTTTGTCGCTTGTGCCCGAAGAGATTATCGCGGGTGACCCGAATTTACATCGTGAACTCTGGGACAGTCATATGCACCATCAAGGACTGGAGGCGATAATTTCGCCGGTGTTCCAATTGATATGGATTTTGGGCTGGCAAATTACCCGACACAGGCAACACGGATCACACATCGTAATGCCTCGTCCCCTGAAGTGACTGCGTATTGCGCCCTACGCATCTCCCACTGGACATTCGCCCCTTACATGGACTCGGACCACTGCTTGATATCTTACTTGGTAGAGATGGACGATGGGACTCCACGACTAGCCAACTCGCTGCCTTGACGGAAGAAAGCCACCTTTGCCCTGCGTAAAGCGGATTGGCCTGCTTTTTTACATCGTTGTGTGAAACACTCCTTGCCACCGCGTCCACGTGGTTGGATCCTCGCGGAGGCATCGTACGAGCAGCTGAGCGCCACATCCCGCGCGGCAGCCGTGAAAACTCCAAAAAGATATGGACACACGAAATGGAACAGGCCGAGTCCGCCGCCGAAGCAGCACACGAAGCACACGCATTGCCTCACCTGGAGACAGCCTACTTTGAGCCGAATGTACCCGAAAGAAGGGAGGAACGAAATCAAGCCTTACGCCGTTGCTCCGCTGTGTTTCTGGAGGCCCGCGCGAAAAGACTTGGAGCTTCATCCAGCCCGAGGTGGCAATATCTTCACGGCGTGGCGGCGCCGCACCCTCATCCTTTGGAATCGGTTGTGCTCCGCACTGAACCTGGCCGCGTTTGCGCCACGCCTCGGCAACAGGCAAATCTGCTTGTCCGTCATTTTGTGCGGATTCACGTGCCATACCGCCTTATACTGCTGCCGCTGCTCGCTGCACTCCTTTGGTTCCTGGTGGCTGGGAAATGGATCGACCTTTCCCACCGTATGTACTTGACGTGACCATCCGTGACTCTTTGCTTGGCTCAGCCCCTGGCCCCGAAGACATGTTGAATGAATTCCTGCACCGTCTCGGGCCCGTTGCGCGCGGCACACTTAGAACGATGATCCACAACTCCTTCGCAAACGGCAGCCTGCCTGGCTCCTGGAAAATGGGAGACGCTATTCCCATCCCCAAACCTGGGAAGGATCCATGCCGCCCAGAGAGTCACAGACCCATCACGCTGCTCTCTGTTTTGCCAAAGTTAACCGAAGGAATGATTCACCGCCGTCTGTCAGCGTTATTGCCGCAACACCCACGTCAACTTTGGATTTGCAACTCCGCGTTCTACGTCGGACGTGGTGGCACTTGTTATCGACAAATTACTCGTGGATTGAATGAGTTCAGCATTGTGGAGTATGAGCGCCCTGGAGACGACGTCCCCACACGACGCCCTCGTCGCCATCGCTTGCTTGTGGTCTCGATTGACTTTCCGACTGCGTTCGACACCATTGACCATGGGAAATTATTCGGCATGCTTGACAGACTTCCGCGCCTTCGCCCTCGAACCAAACGCTGGTTGAATAACAGCCTGCGGGGCCGCCATGTTAGGGTATGCACTCGCGAACAGCACTCCCGGAAACAACTCGCCTCAACTGGAGCACCACATGGCAGCGTCCCGGGACCCTAACTCTCCCTCTACTGTGTGGATGATCTGCTGCACCGCATGGGTAGTATCTATTCTGCCGCCGCATTCATGTAAGCTGACGAACACACACTTGTTGCCTCAGGTGCGGACATCCATGCCTGTGCTGCGGCAATGCGACCGCTCTTGTCTCTTGTGGCCACATGGGCTGCCGAGCACAGCCTAAAAATCAACGTCGCTAAGAGCGAAGCTGCTCTATTCCACATCTCTTCACACACACACGGTCTGACGAGGACATGTTCGATCTCCATCTTGTTAGCGGGAACCCGCGTATTCAGTCACGCCCAGTGCGCTTGCTGGGCAACACGATTGATCGACTTCTTAATTCTGTTACGCATGCTTCTACCGCTGCAAAGCAGTCCATGCTACGCTGCTATCAGCTGCGGCTGGTCGCACAAGCTGGTGCGTCCCATCACACCGTGCGATCCTTTTTGATTGTATACGTTCATGGTGTGTCACTATATTGTGGCGGGGCAAGTGTCCCGTGACTCGCCCCAATTACTTCCATAATATGGAGGCACGGTACCGCGACGGTAGTAAAACATTCTTGGCCTGAGCGCATCTACAGATAATACATCCGTCTGCTTGGAAGGCAATCTTCTTCGGCTCCGGAAGATACTCTGGCGTCGTGCGCTCACAAAATAAGAACGCTATATACGCCTCCATGATCACGAGGATTTGCGTTCCCTTATCTACTCGGAACCTATGCCTCTGTCCATGCATGAAGAGCGGCGGCATCGATCCCGCTTCCAAGAGATGCTGTTATTAATGGATTACACCGCGTCTGTAACATTATTGGGACACCCCACAACCACAATCGCGCGCCTCTTGCCCAACATCGTATTTTCCCCTGGGACACTGTGAGCTGCAATAATGTGGAATTTAATCAGCCACGCTTTGCCCAAGACGTCTCTGACGATGTCAGACGCACGGCTTTTTATTCTATTTACTCCTCTCTAGGAGATTACGATTTTGAATTATGGACGGACGGTCCTTCGTCTCTCGCTGCACTCGCATCTGGATCCGCTGCGCTATTATATGACTCCACCACGACAAATGATCTCCCCGTGGGGGTACATCGTGCAGCAGCTGGCAGCCTCGCATGCTCATATGGGGCAGAGTGCATTGCCACTGAAAATGGCTTTAGACATCTCATACCTCCTTGTCTGGAAACATCCCAATCGCCCACACGAATGCTGGAGGAAACGGACTCCCTCTCGGCAATTGAGACACTCCGCGTCGTTCCACTGGCCGTGCGAAGCCGCATTACTGAGTAAATTTGGATTATGCTGTTTTCCTTGGTAAAGCGAGGTCACTCTGTAGAATGTGTCTTCTCCCCATCGCACTGCGGTATCCCACGCAATGAGGCCGCTGACGAAAAAGCCACGACTGCACAATCCCTCCCGCAGGAGGGCGGCCCAATCTGGCACGTGGACTTCCTTGCCGCCGTCAAGAGGTTGTACTGGAAGGAAGTCCAGGAGGGAGAAGAAGCCGCACACACCGCACGCCGGGGGCTCGTTGGTGTAAAGGAAAAAAACAAAAAACATTCCTGGTGCCCAGGCAGGCATCGGGCGTCGAATCACGACTTTGTGCGCGGGTGCATTGCGACTCCTGCCCACTCTTCGACAGGCCTGCACGCGCCCTGCGGATCACAAGGAACCCTTCATGTCGGTGGTGCCGTCCCTCCCTCACTGAAGAGGCAGGACCGCCCCGACCTTCTCCGGAACCTCCACCTGGCGTGTCGACTGCAACTCTTCGGAGAATGACGAGCAGCGGATCAACGTCGCCCTGCCCAATCGGTGGCAGACTCTTCTCGTCCGTCCACAATATGAAGGCACACGCCCGACGCACTAACCCTGGCACTCCAATCGTTGCAGAAGGCCTCACATGTGTTTCTGCGACAGCTCCACGGTCTTCAAAACAAGTGCCTCACGCGCAGGTCACTACCGAAAATGCCAAGCGTATCAACGAGCAAAAAACGGACAACGCAACTCTGCAGGCCCCAATGACAGCCATAGCCCTTCAGCCACTCCTCTACGGCAACCTCCACCAGCCGCTGAGCCCCCGACGGTCCACGGGAAATCTATCGCACATGTTGTGGGAATGCCCTCGTCGTTTACCACTGAGCATTCGAATCTTTGGAGAAAATCCATGTCGCACGACAGCGTTATTCGAGACGGGAAATTTGGCCACGTTTCTACGGACAGCTCACGGGCGATCATTGAATAGTGAACATGTCGTATAACGAGAAGAAAATTTTCCCTTATATCTTGTGTTTTTTTGAAGAATGCGTTGGCTGAGTCAATGAACCAATAACGGTAAGAGGAATTTTTATTGAGTTTGTCTTTATTTTTTGCCGTCCCACCCATCCACCTTTTTTTCCCAATTCTTATTCCTGCGGCGGGGTCTGGTGACTGGGGGACCGCAATGTACTTTAATTAATAATATTTTTGTTTTTAAAAAAGTACGGCAAGTCAAGAGAGTGGCAGTTGAAATGTATATTAACTTGGCGAAAACATTGAGGATGTGGCGAATCCCTTGCCTCTCCATTTATCCTCTTTTTCTCCCCTTCTTGTTTTGATTGCTTTGGATAACTTTAGGATTTGGCTAGCGGCTCAGGTGAATACTCTTTTGCCTTTTTTTGCGTTTGTTATTTTGCAGGTGCTTTTGGTTGATACATGTGCCATTAGCCTGCGTCTGTGAGTGTGTTTCTGTGTTTATTGTTGGTTTCCTTGTGGCGTTTCCTTTTTTTTGTATTTTATTGTAAGCGTCGTGTTTGCTATCGGCGTTCGTAGGAATTTTGTGCTGTGGAGTTAGGGGTGAGGCGGGATTGAGGGTGTTGAGAGGATGAAGTCAAAGAAGACGGTACAGAAGAGTGAGTTTCACCATGTGCGAGTGCAGGGGCGCCAGCGCGAGGTGGAGTTTCCTGTGTCGCCGCTCTCTGCTGGGCCGCAGCAAGGGCGGTGGGGCAAAGATTCATATTTTGTTCCAAAACTTGTTACCTTATGTGCGGAAATTATTGCGGCGAATTTTGCCCAACTTCCTGAGGCTGACGGATTGCGCGAGGAGCACCCGAAGTTGTACAACGTTGTCATTGAGAGGCTGTCGACGGATTTGCCCTTCTCGGTGACTGTCCCCCGGGTGCGATCGGATGAGTACTGGCGTCGCTGCTGTGAGGCTCGGTGGTCGTTTGGGCAGCTGGGCGAGCGGTCCTGCGGGAAACTTCTGCCACCCAAACGGGAGGGGTGGAAGCAGTTTTTTCTTGAGCGTGTGCTCAGCGACTTCCTGACCGCCCTGCGATTACCCGAGATGACGACAGAGGAGGCGGAGGCGCTCGACAACCTCTGCCTGGTGTGTAGGGAGTACGTGTACACGTTGGACCTTGCCTGCCAGGTGACGCGGTTTGCCCTCTACGAGTCCCTCCTGTCACGCATGCCGCATTTGGAGGATATCCGTTTAACCATCGGCGTGAAGAACGCTGGGACAAACTTTGAGTGGGAAATGATGGGATTTGGCGAGTCGGATGCACTCAATTTGCGCCGCGCGCTTATGAGGTACCCGCCGCTACGGTATCTGCGGCTTCCCAACAACAGGCTGAACAGCTCGTTATTGAAGGGAATTCTTGGCGGACTTGTCCACAACACATCCATCGTCGTACTTGACTTTTCATCCAACCGCATTGACGACGAGGGGGCACGGCAGCTTGCTCTCCTGCTCTGCAAGCCAGAGCTGCCGCTTGAGGAGCTTTATTTAAATGACAATCATATCCGATCAGAAGGCGCCACTGCGCTCGGCGAGGCGTTGACAATGAACAAGAGACTGCGGGTTCTCAATCTTCGTCTTAACCGCATCCCCGATGAAACCGGCGGTGTGGCCATCTTCAATGGCCTTGCAACACACACCACACTGGAGGTGCTGGACCTCGCGCATAATCTTCTGGGCGATGAAACCGCCCGCACCCTCGCGGAGGTGTTACCGAAGCAGGAGTCACTGCTATCATTGAACATTGCAGGTAACAAGGCACTTGGTTTGGAGACAAGCCAATTACTCTTGCAGGCAGTGAAGAAAAACACAACTCTGTGCTTTTTCGATACTCGGGGAAGCGGTGTGGCGGAGGAATGCATGGCAGCCATGGAAGGAAAGGTGCGGGATGTCGTACGGGCCATCAAGAGGCAGGAGTTAGCGATGAAGGAGGAGTTGCAGAGAGAGAAGATCCGGCAAGAAGTAGAGGCAAAACTTGCAAAGACGTTGTGTGCGTAGAGGAGTTCCAGTAGTCTCCCTATCTATATATGTTTTTGAGCGGTATGTGTTTTTCCCTAAAAGGGAAGAGGAACCAATCTTTATGTACAGTGAGTTCTTCTAGAGGCGGCGGTGGGGATCTACTGAAGCTCCTTCCTTTTTTCCCTTTTTTTTTTCTCTTTCTCTGCGCGCTTTGCTTCCTTTTTTTTTTTTTTTTGCTGTGATTTCTTTTTCTACCTTTTTTTGGGGTGGTGGTGGTGGTGGTGGGACTGTTTCCGTTTGCTTTACGTGAAGCTTCAGATTGAGCGGGTGTATCCGTACCGGCGATTGCCTGCATTTTGTTGTTGTTGTTGTTGGGTCCATTCATACGGAGTGTAGCTGCCTGTTTTCTCATGGCCTCAGTTACGGCCTCTGGTCTTTTTCTTGCCGTCGCTCTGACTGTCGCTTCAGTCAGCGCCTTCTTCTTCACAATCTGGCCAGCTGCTGTTCTTGTTTTGGTGCGACTCACTGCGGGATTTATTCCAACGAATTTCATGCGTCTTTGCGCTGCCTGGTACGACGGCGTGCAGGAGAAGTGGTTGGCGTTTGTCGTCATATTTCTTGAGTGCGTGCTCAAGCTACGCCTGGCGTACACAATCGTGTCCACGTCCGCCACAACACCGTCAGGGATTGCTGATGTGTTTGCGCCACCTCAACCCGGCAATTTTAAACTCATTATCCTCAACCACCGCTCGCGCATTGACTGGCTGATGATGTTTCCGTTTCTCGCACGGGCAAATGTTCTGCGAACGCTGCGCATTGTCTTGAAGGCGGGGCTAAGTCGTATCCCCGTCTTTGGATGGTCCATGCAGTTATTCCGTTACATTTTTCTTTCCCGAAAGTGGTCCAGTGATGAGGCCAAAATGCATGACGTGATTGTGCATTACCGTGAGAACGGCGGTGCCACCATTCTGCTTTTCCCGGAAGGAACGGACCTTTCAGAGAGCAACGTTGAGAAGTCCCACGCCTACGCAGCACAAAATGGCTTGCCACGTTTCCACCACGTTCTTAACCCACGCGTCAAGGGATTTGTGGCAATGAAAAATATGATTGGTGCGGCAAATATTGAGGAGATTGTGGATGTGACGATGGGCTACACGGATTTTGTACCCGGCGAACGCCCAGCCGAGTGTTCAGTTGTCAACGGCCGCATGCCAAAGAAGGTTCACATACTATGCATGCGACATCGCATGGCTGAGAATACGCCGTCTGTGGGGGAGGAAAGGCGGGCGCTGGATGTGGTGCCCACGGATGATGATGGCCTAAGTCTTTGGCTGAACGATTGTTTTGCGAAAAAAGAATTTTTGCTCTCGCAGTTTTACGCCAGCAATCCAGTGGGATTTGAGCCACACCACGTTCGTAGTGTGTTTGGTGAAAACTGTACCGTTTTTACTTATGACGAAGATGAGGAAATGGCACGTCATCCTAATAGCACAAAATTTTCTCTTTTTGTGCGGGATGTGGGGATTTGGCGTGGTTTTGTTGGTATAATTGTTTTGTGGACGATACCTGTATTGTATTGGGTCTTCTGTGGCGGGCTACTCTCGTTACTTCTCTACGGGCTGCTTGCGGCCATGTGTGTGTGGATTAACCGGGAGAAGGGTGGTCTGGATGTGTGGCTGTTCCTGCAGCCGCAGCCCAAGCGGCCGGCGAGGAAGGAGGAGCTGAAGACCCATAAGAAGGAATGACGTGGCAGGAAACAACAGATTGCAAAGGGGGAAGGCAATGCAGGATGAAAAAAGGAAAAAAAAAAGGAAAGGTATCAGTGACTTTGCTTTTATTCTACTGAAAGCACCGCAACATTCATTTTGCCTGGAGGCTTCTTTTTTTTTTCTCTAAAAACAATGAAAGAGTAAGAGAATAAAGGAAGAAGACAGAAGAACGAACAAAAAAAAACAAAAAGAACAGAAAACATGGCCTTTTTTTTTTTTTTTCGGGGGCAGATGTAAGAAGGAATAAACGTCATTGTGTGTGTTGCTTTTATTTTCTTTCTCTCTCCCTCTCTTTTTTTTTTTTTCTTTGATGACGCCTTTTGCTCTACATCTCCTGAGAGAAGTGATCCTTGTAGGAGAGGGGGAAACACACACGCACACACACAAAGACAGGGTGTGAGGAAAAGATAGAGAGAGAGAGAGATAGCATAAGGAGAAACAGGGGAACAAAGGAAAACGTAACGTGATGCCCGCCGCCACGCGCTACTTGCCGCACTCCGAGAGGACAAAGACGCACTATGAGCGATTTCTGAGAGATCTGCGTCGATGGCTGCCACCCGGCCTCGATGATGAGATTGGCGAGATCGCCGAGGAAACACTCTCCATTGTGTGCCGCGCGGGTAATGGTACCGCCGCAGGGGGCTCAGCCCAGCTGCAACAGGTGAGGAAACAGCTTGAGGTACTCTTCGACACCTCAATAAGCCCCGAGGCACTGCATGAGGTGCTTCAGTATGGCCGACTCATTGATGACTTTATTGTGGTGGCGGAGGAGGAGGAGGAGGTGGGAAACACGTGTGGCGTGGCCCATCGCGGCGGTGACAATGCCGCTGGATTGGGCGATGGACTCGGCGACCTTTTTTTCATGCAGCAACAGGAGGAGGAGGCTGGTGACTCATCGGATGACGATGAGTCCAGGACTGCCCGCGACAACAGGCGGGACTTGATGAGGTTTGCCGTAGATGTGGAGGGGCTCACAGCCAACGATGACGATGAGGACGACGGCGGTGCAGAAGAGGGCAATAATAATCATAATAACAACATTAACGGCGGTGGCCGGGCGCAACGTGTGACGTTTGAGGAGGTTGCATGCAACCCAAAATATGTCCGTGACTCCTTGCGCCGCCTGTTTCCCACGCAGACAGTCGAGGAGTGTGACCTGCAGGCGGATCGTTTATTGCGGTACGCCGGCCAGCGTCAGGTTGACCAGTTGACTCTCGAAACACAACTCACTGCGTTTCTTGGCGGATACGACGATGAGGCAGTCATGGAATGGATTGGTGTCGTAGCCGCATCGCGTTGGGCAATTGTGTACGGCATGCAGTTTGCAGAGGGGCACAACCAGCAGGAGAAGGAAGCTGTGATGGATGCCATGAAGACACATGCGAAGCAGGATCGTCTGGTCGAGCGGCTTTACCAAAGTGTCACGGGTAAAGAAATAGGGCCCAAGAATGACATTAACAACGATGACGGGAACAGTGGCGATGTGAAACCGCTGCGGCGTGTGGATTTGGAAGCATACGCATTTAAGGATGAGAGCACACCCCATCGACTTAGACGTGCTGTTGTGCCACAAGGGACACAACGGGCGGTATTTGAAACACATGATGAGGTGGTGCTTCCGGCAACGGCATCCGCAACGAGTGAATACGCCCGGACCCCTGTGAGCGCCTTTCCAGAGTGGGCACAAGTGGCATTCTCTGGTGTCACACACCTCAACCCCATGCAAAGCAAAACGTTTGATTGTGCCTTTGGGAGTGATGAAAACATGTTGGTGTGCGCACCAACGGGGGCAGGGAAGACAAATATTGCGATGATGGCAATGCTGAGGGCTGTCAAGAACGCCACGGCCCGCAGCGGAGCCATCAATCTGCGTGAACTGAAGATGGTTTACGTGGCACCCATGAAGGCACTGGTGCAGGAGGTGGTACGCACTTTCTCCAACCGATTAGAGCAGCTTGGTTTGACCGTGGTGGAACTCTCCGGGGACTCCAATGCGAATCAGGCCCAGCTAAGTGACGCGCAGCTCATTGTGACAACACCCGAGAAGTGGGATGTGGTGACACGCAAGTCTGTGGAACTTGGCGTGGCATCGTTGCTGAAGCTTCTCATTCTGGACGAAGTGCATTTACTTCATAACGAGCGTGGACCTGTGCTGGAGGCGATTGTTGCAAGAACCATGCTGCAGCAGCAACTTCGTGGTGAGACGGATATCCGTATTGTGGGGCTGAGCGCCACTTTGCCGAACTATGCGGATGTGGCGAGTTTTTTGCAGGTGGACCGACAGCGGGGATTATTTGTCTTTGACAGTTCTTTCCGTCCAATTCCGCTTCAGCAAACATTCTGTGCCATCAAAAAGGTACGTGGGACAAATCAGGTGGCTGTTATGAACCTTGTTACATACGACAAGCTGCTTCAGGCGGCGATGAGTGGGGAACAGTCGATGGTGTTTGTGCACTCCCGCAAGGACACTGAATACACCGTCATGTACATGATACGACGGATTTTGGAGGAAAAACGGACGCATTACTTTGTGCGTCCCGGCAGTGAGTCGGAACAGTTGTTACGTGAGGCGGCAATTGACCCATCGCGTCCTCTTCGACCGAGTTTACAGCAAATGCTTCCAATGGGCTTTGCTGTACATCACGCCGGAATGAGCCGTGGGGAGCGCGAGGTTGTGGAGAGACTCTTTGCGGATCGACACGTGCGGGCACTGGTTTGTACTTCAACCCTTGCGTGGGGTGTGAACTTGCCGGCGAATCAAGTGATCATCAAAGGCACTCGTGTTTTTAATGCTGCCAAGGGTGAAACGGAATTGTTGAGTGCACTTGACGTTCTGCAGATGTTTGGTCGTGCTGGTCGTGTGGGGTTTGGCTCGTCTCTTGGAAGGGCTGCGGTCATCACGAGCGCTGAGGATCTGCATTACTACTTAAGTGTACTCAACGACCAGCTTCCCATTGAGTCGCAGATGATGCGACGGCTGATTGACATGTTTAATGCCGAGGTGGTACTTGGCCACGTGGGAAGTGTCGCTGAAGGAGTGCGGTGGCTACAGCGAACATATTTGTACGTCCGAATGCAGCGATCGCCTGAACTCTATGGGACACGCGCCAGTAATGCTGACCCTCTGTTCCTCCGTCATTTAGAGAATATTGTGCACACCGCAGCGGATGACCTGCGTCGCTGTCAGATGGTGGAATATGACACCCACGCTCGGCGCATCTCACCGAAACCATACGGCCGCATTGCATCTTTCTACTACATCACATCCGCCTCCATGACCACGTACCTCACCCACCTTGGTCGTACGATGCATGATGTGGACTTGTTCCGTCTGTTCGCCATGTCAAAAGAGTTCTCACACATTTTGGTGCGGCCAGAGGAGCAGACGCAGTTGCAATATTTGTTAGAAAATGCTCCTATTGCCGTTCGGGAAAGTCGCTACACGCCCTTGGCGAAAATTAACATATTGCTGCAGTGCTACATCAGTGGTATGAGTCTACAGGGCCTGCCATTGATGAGTGAGCTTGTCTATGTGAAGGACTCCGCTCAACGCATCTTTAGAGCTCTGCATGAGATTTGTTTGGTGCGCGAGTTCGGCCGTACCGCGCAGCAGGTACTAAACCTTTGCCTTATGGTGGCACATCAACAGTGGACTGTGCAATCTCCCGTGCGTCAGTTGCGTCACACGGTGGCTCCGAAGAACTTTAATGCCTTTATTCACACATTGGAGAGCCGTCGCGTTTCGTGGGAAGAGGTGCGATTATGGTCACTTGAAGATCTTGCTGAGAAGTTGAGCGACGAGCGACGTGCTGAGTTAGCATACGAATGCATTCATCAGGTTCCGCACTTTACATTGGAGGCTTCCGTACGCCCTCTCACCCGTAACATGCTGTACGTTGATGTCGACATCACGCCAGACTTTACATACAACGAGGAAGTACATAGCCAGACGGCTGGTGAACTTCTCCTCACGATTGAACACACCAACGGCCGCATTCTTCACCATGAGCAGCTGCACATGACTGGGGAGGCTTTGCGTGGAGGCGAAACGCTCTCCGCCCCAACGATCGTGGTGCCAATTATTGAGCCGAAGCCAACTCACTACTTCGTGAGGTGCCAATCCTTGTATTGGCTTGGAGCCGAGTGCTCTGTCGCCGTTTGTTTGATGAACGTAAGACTGCCGGACATCGCCCCGCCGCTGTTGGAGATGCAACAACGTCCCTCTGCCCTGGAGGATGAAACGGCACGGGATGTCTTCGCGACGCTTCAACCGTACGGCTTGGAGGCATCAGCAGATAAGTTGTTTCCCTTCACCGAGTTCTTCCCGGCGCAGCGCGACCTCGTGACGCCCATCATGGCGTATCCTTCGGAGAACATCTTTGCAGCGCTGCCACCCGGCGGTGGTAAGACGGCAATTGCTGAGCTCTTCATTTTGCAATTTCTTCTGGAAGGGGCCCTATTAGAGACGAACATGGGCGCATCCGAGGAGACCTCTATGGCTGAAAAGCTGTGCCCGCTGCTGAGCGAAAAATTCTGTACCTCCACGGCACATGAGGCGTGCGCCATGCGTCGTTTTCAAGACTGGCGGATTAAATTCGGTGAGGGTTTGAAGCAGCGGGTGGCAAAATTAGAGCCATTTGGTGAGGGGACGACGCTGAAGGCAGAAAAGGTTTATCAGGCCACTATTATTATCGCAAGTGGTAGCGGTTTGGCGCCGTTGTTACGTCAAGGTGCGGTGGATTGCCTTCTGAGCGTGACTCACATCATTGCTGACTGTGTTCATCTTATTCGTGCACCGGAGGGTCGTTGGATGGAGGAATGCTTGGCACGTTTGCTTTCAAAGCCTTACTTGGTAAACAATGGGCAGAAGCCTGCGCGTCTTCTTGCCCTCTCATACCCACTGATAAGCTGCACCGAGGTGTCACGATGGATGAAGATCCCAGCAGCGCGGCAATACAATTATGGTAATTCCTATCGGCAATTACATGTGCGTCTGGAGGCTTTGGAGCAAGGAGGAGCCCGCAGTCGGTACGAGGCAGCCACTGTCTCTGCACTAAAGGAACTACAGAAGGTGCGTTACGCATCGACTCCAAACGTTGTGTTTGTTCCCTCCGCGCGAGAAGCCGAGGAGCTTGCAAAACGCATAGTTCTCCGCTGCCGAGACTTTGTTCCTGAAGCGGTATGCGAAGATGTAGAAGATCAGAATATTGCGCTGCTTCTTTCAGCCGGAGTGGCTTACATGCATCGTGGGACAAGCCTGCTAGATGAGTTGATCATCATCGGGCATATAGAGAAACCAGCACGGCACCCGGAGACAGAGGCGGTGCTTCCATTAGTGCTTGTCTGTACTTTTGAGTCGGCATGGAGGTTGCCGGCTGCACTGTTTGGGACGGCATTCGTGTGCGCTGCGGAGCGACTTGGCGTTGCCAGCAAATTCGTCAACGCATCTGGTGGTGACTGTTCCGTGTCCGAACTTCTACAAATGACATCTCGAGCACTTAATGAGGCAGTCGTTTATTGCCGCGCCGCACGGCGTTGGGTGTGGGGCAGACTACTGAATGACCCACTGCCACTTGAGTCATACTTGCGGTACCCGAACGATTTTTGTGACGCCGTAAACGCCGCCGTGGCGCAAGGGCGAGCAAGTGACATGCCGGGCGTTTTGCGCATCCTGCAAAGTCATTACTTTCTGTACCATTTGCGCACGAACCTACAATTCTACGGCGTTCCCTCTAAAGACGATATCCCAGCGTATGCCTCGGAGTTTGCTCGGTCGGTGATTGCCTCTTTACAGCAGGCGGGCTGCGTGGTTGTGACGGAGGGTGATGGGGATGAGACGGTAACGGTTCGGCCAACTACGCGGGGTATTGCGCTGTCGAATCATGGCATCACTGTGGGAACTATTGAGGCCATTGAAGAGGCAAAATCTGGCATTCGTGTATCTACCGTGGCGGGCGTGTGGCGGTTGATTGTCTCATCTTGTGTAGAGTTGACACCGGAGTACGTGGGTGACGCTGCCCGTATCACGGATGATGCTGAGATGCAGGCCTTGCAGACCATTGCTCGGGCATTTCCCAAGGGCTACGATGTGCAGTACGTGGACCTGGATTTTAGTAGGGGCTGGACGAAGGTCCAAATGCTTATTCTTGCGCACTGTGCCAGGATGTTTGTGCATGAAACATATATGGCGGGACATGAGGGGGACGAAAGAAGAATGGCTGTAACTCATCCATTTGCTTCGCCATCGACGGCCGCTATCGACCCGCAGCTGCTTCTTAACATCCCAAGTACGGTAGCAGAGCGGCTGCGGGAGGACCTTTACGTTCTTTTGCCATCCGTACTGAATGTGGTACGAGGCGCTTGTGTGATATTTGACGGCAGGACCCAATGGAAACAGGCCCGTTATCTGATGCGTCTCTCTTCACTGATTGAACGGCGTACCTGGGGATTTGAAGATCCGTTGTTGCAACTTCCGTGTGTGCAGGACTCAAGGACTCTGCTCGAGGTTCTAACGACGACAACAACAACGGCAAAAGCGTCATGGTCTCTTGAACGGTTGCAGGAGTTGTGTGCCCAACATGAGACACCAGCAGCGGAAGGTGCATGGAATGAACTTTCACACATGTTGTTGACGTCCTTGCAGCGGCATGGCAATGTGAGTCGTGCGGTGGAAGAGGCTGAATTCCTTTTGTCTCGTCTGCGTGTCGAGGCCGCGGCAATTCCACGTGTGATTTCACTCTCAGCCACAGGAACCGTAGAGGAGGTGGACGGTGCACATGCCTTCTTGGTGCGCGTGGAGGGTCACATCGCATGCACACTACCACCGTCATCGTCATCTTCGGAGCATTGCGGCGATTCGCTGGGCCCGTGGTGGATGCCGTGTGTTGTGCGACATGAGGGGCGTCCAAATTTGCCGGAGCGCTTGATGGCGTTGCGTGTGGTGACGCCGGAGAATTCGCCGGGTAGCACCGGCAATGAAGAGGATCCCGTGGATTGCATGAATAGTGGGGCGGCGCTGAAGGCATTCAACGCAAAACCATCATCCTTTTGGCGCATTTCCGGCACCCTGTCGTTCCCGCTGCATGATGTGGACGGGGAGGACCTGGAGACGCTGAAGATGACGGTGGCGGTGATCGCAGCGCGCTACATTGCGGACGCGGAGGTGGACGTTGTCTTCACTGCGGAGTGAAGTCACATTGAAAAAGGGGAAAATAACGCGCTTGTTTCTTTGTTTTGTTGAATGCGCCTTTTTTTTATTCTCTCCTTTTCTTTTTTTTTATGCTGTGCGCTTGACGGTGGTGGTGCCGTGCCAGAGGGAGAGAGAGGGGAACAAAGAATGATAATAATGATGATTAACATGATGAAAGAAGTATTTTGCTGCGGAAGAGGGGGGAACGTGGTGGAAAAGAGAAAACAAAGGCAAAGAACCACAACACACCCACAGTTGTGCGGTGTTGTCAAGGGAGCAGGCGGGGAAGACATCAGTGCGCTTGAAGGGGTCGTGCCACTCGTCGGTGCAGGTGCCTCAAAACAATACAGGGAGAATTCTGTTCATTGCGAGGGGCTCCTATACCCACCCTAAACCACTTTTTGTCGTGTCTGTTGGAGGAAAAGGAAAAGAGGAGGAGAAGGAGGCGCGAACGTTTGCAGAGCCATTGCACCACTCTCTCAACGTTTTTTTTTTTTTTCTTTCTTCTTTTTTTTTTCTCCCCTCCTTCTTCTTATCTCGTGTGCCACATCATTGTCTTTCCAGGTCCTGTACACATATAAATATATATATTTATATTTATATATACATTTGGTGTTTCTGTGCGAGGTGGGGGGCAACAATAAATATATTTTGGCCTGCTTTTAGCACGTGATGCCGAACCCACTGGAGGAAGATTCCGCTGGTGCTCTCGTGGCTGCCAACAACGGTGCCCAGGAGAAGCAGCAGAATGGCCTGACGACGTTGGGTGACAAGGGAATTGAGAGGGAGAAACTGCCGCGTATTCCATCCACGATGCAGAAGCAAAGGCACTGTAGTTTGAATTTCTCGCAAATGGGTTCATCCCAATATCTTCAAGGAAAATTATCACAACTGTTCCTCACGAATGGGGGCACTCACGGAGGATTATCCTCGACATTATCGAGAACCCAGTCCTCCAGCGATGAAGCCGCAGCTGTTGTCAGCGACCAGAAGGAGGTCACAGTAATAAGCTCAAAGGAGGTCCTGTGCTTGAGCGAAGTCTTTGGAGTGCCCCCGGCACGTGTACGGGAGGTGGCTGTTGCCTCGGAGGGTGATCGCGAACTGATGTTGGCCATTCTTCAGAGTGAGTGGGAGGATCGAGAACAGCGGGGCGAGCCACTGCTGCCTTCGGCCGAGCGATCCCGAAGTGGGAGCATTACCGAAGTTGGAGATCGGCCAAAGCTGCAGTACGGCTCGAAGCACGCGGTGAGGCGGATCATGAAACTTCTGGACCTCTCCCCTTTGTGGGAGGGGGAGATCATTCATGCACTCAACGCCACAAAGGGGGACGCACAGGGGGCGTTGTCTGTCCTTACAATGAAGATGGAGATGGCAAACGGAGCACCAGCCCAGCGGCTGATGGGCTGGGGTGAAAGTATGTCTGAGCAGGATATGATAAAGGTTCAGGACTACATTAGCCTTCTGGATAAATCTCTGGAGACCACAAAGGCACAGGCACTGCAAACAGAGTTTGAAGGACGCACAATAAAGGACATTGAGGATGCATTAAGGCTCACAGACGGAGACTTGAACCAGGCTCGACTTTATCTTCAGCAGGTGCCGGCACAAAAAGAGACCCGACGAAATCTTGAGGCCCTCATTGCATCGCCCAAGAAAAGTTTTTTTAGAAAGAGGGAACGGCGACAATTGAAACGTTACCCCTCCGTAGTCAGCATTGCTTGCCCCGATAATGCCGTATCTTTATTCCCTCATACTGCGCGCTCGAGGAGCCCTGATGAGGGCGATCGAGAAGCAACGTCTCCATTCAGCAAAACGACATATGTTTTTCGCCCAACGGATTTGGCGTTATCGCACGTCGAATTGCCTTCTCATTTGAAACAGCAAAATGCACATGAGAAGGGTGAGACAACAATGGAACTACAGCCTAAGAAAACGGAATTACCCGAGATTATGCGGGAACCAGCAGATTTATGGATGGGCAAGATGCCAAGAGGTGGTAGCGTGTATGCCTTGAACAACTTAGATGATGAGACAGACGATGAGCCCTTGTCGCCACAGAGCGTTGCTGCCATCAAATCTGCATTTAGTCCAAACAAACAGGGCAGATCGTCCGAAAATAGGTCCTCGACCTCTCGTGGGCTCAAAATGCCTCCATCACTACCAACAACTGGCATAGATGGCATTTATCCAGCGGCACCATCCCTGCGAGGTACCGCAGCGAGCTCCGGGCTTCCTCCACCGCCACCGCCACCGCCACCGCCACCGGGCGCTGGAGCAAAGTCTGGACTTCCACCGCCACCGCCACCGCCACCGGGCGCTGGAGCAAAGTCTGGACTTCCACCGCCACCGCCACCGCCGCCGCCACCGGGCGCTGGAACAAAGTCTGGACTTCCACCGCCACCGCCACCGCCACCGGGCGCTGGAACAAAGTCTGGACTTCCACCGCCGCCGCCACCGCCACCGGGCGCTGGAACAAAGTCTGGACTTCCACCGCCACCGCCGCCGCCACCGCCCAAGGCGAAATCAGGACCCGCACAACCTGGTCCTACGCGTAGTATTCCCATTGATGTGGTAAAAAATATTTCGAAAGTGTCAGTATTTAAAGCCAAAGAATCTATTGTACTTCCCGAGCTATACCGCAGGGAATTGGCTAATGAGTTTAGGCGGGTGGAGAAGAAACCAATGGAACGGGAACCGCTTGTGATGAAGGAGGTTATTATTGATCCAAATCGTGAGCGGAATGTGGGCATTGTGCTTCAATTTTTGCGGCTTCCCATACAGACTATTGAGGCACGTGTGCGTACATTTGATGAGCTGACTCTTGGTGAGGAGCACATTTCAGGCCTTGTCAAGATTATTCCCCACGCCGAAGATCTTCGGCCTATTGAAGCATGGATGAGGCGCAATCCAAAGGCGAGTGTTGCGCGACTTCATCAACTGAGCATACCTGTACGCTTCTTTATGATGACGATGAAAATTGGGCATTACGCCGAGCGGTTGCAATGTTGGAATTTAAAGAACGAATTCAAAGGGCGTATTGATGACCTTGAGGTGAAAATTTGCCGCACGCTAGAGGGAGTGTCTGCTGTGATGGAGTCCACGCAATTGCCCCGCTTGTTACAGGTTGTTCTTGCAGTAAGCAATTTTTTAAACACGGGTAGTCGATTTCAGGAGGCGAAAGGATTTCGTGTGACACAACTACCGCAAATTATCGAATTTCCGACAACAAACAACAACCGGGTTCTTTTGGATTATTTGGTTGAGATCATCGACCAGCAGGACCCAGCCCTGCACAATTGGACGGAGGAACTGTTGTCGGCGGCGGAAAACGCATCAAACTTTGATGTACCCGGAGTCGCTGGGGAGCTTAAATCCGTTCGAGCTCGTCTGCAGAAGTGTGCGTCACTTGTGCGTGCGATTCCGGATGACAAGCCATGGACAACGAAGCTTGGGAAGTTTATCTACACCGCCTTTCCAGCGCTGGATCATGTCGAGCAGCTGATGAGCGAGTTGAATGCGAAAATTGAGTTGATGCCGGCTTATTTCTGCGAAAATTCCAGTTCTTTTTCTATGAATGACACGATGCGGTGCCTGGCAAACTTTGCGAAGAAGTATAACAGGAAGAGAGACCAGTTGGCAGCGAAACAGATGCGACTATCGAGGTTGGCGGCAAAAGATGCAGAGAATTCAGAGAATGTCACGGAAGATCCAAATTCGAGGGTGAATGTTAACGAGTCGCACAAGGTACAACATTCATTACAAGAACCCAAAATAAAAGTGGAAAAAGAGCGAAGCAAGCCATCTTCTCCAGCCCCATATGCCCTGATGGCCAAGGGTGATAGGAAGGGTACGGTGGGCAATGGCCGCGGAGTAGGGAGGAGGACGGAGAGCCTTAACAATGGGTCCTGCAGCAACTCCAGCAATGGTGAAACTTTTTCTGAACCCCGTCTATTACTCTTCCAGTAGGCATGCATCTTTAAAATAACAACAATGAGAACAACAGAACGAATTTCATTTTTATTTTTATTGGCTACGTCCAACCTTTGCCGTTTCTCTTGTGTGTATGAGGTTTAAAATGACGATATAAATATATATATATGTATGTATGTATATTTACTTATTTATGTATTTTGTCTGCATGTGTGTGCTGTTGAGATTTTTTATTTTTTATTTATTTTTTGGTTTTGTTTTTGTGTTGCTTGTGTGTATGGCAAATAAAGAGAGAGAAAGGAGGGAGGGGGGAAGAGAGACCCGGTGAAGAAGAATAAAACGGTGATTATTATTTATTTTGGTTTTATATGTTTATATTTCGAAATTTTCTTTTTTCTTTTTTTTTATGGTTTTATATTTTTTTATTTTATTTTATTTTATTTTATTATTTAAAAAAAAAAAAAAAATCCATTCGTTGGTTGCTTGAGTGTTAACGCGAAATGTTATGTTTTTTTTTTTTTTTTCTGTTTTGATGCCCTCACACTCACAGACAGACAGACAGACAGACAGACAGACAGACAGACAGACAGACAGACAGACAGACAGACAGACAGACAGACAGACAGACAGACAGACAGACAGACATGTAAATATATTTATTTATTTATTCATTTCTTTTTATTTTATTTATATGCCGGCGGTTTTCTTTTGTTTTTGTTTTTCTTTACATTTTTCTTTCATCGTGTCTTTTCTTTTTTTTTTATTCTCCCCTTCTCTTCTTCCCTCTTTGTTGTGGTTGTTTTTTTTTTTATATATAAAAAAATATATATGTGCGTTTCACTTTTTTTTTTTTTTTTGCTGCATGATTTTATTTATTTATTTATTTTACTTATTTATATTTATATTTATATGCATGCATGTGAGTTCTCCTTTTTTTTTTTTTTTTTTTTTTTCGTAGCGTACTCGTTGTGTGTGTGTATATTTATAATGTTTGTTGTTTTGTTGTGGTGTTTGGTGTTATTTGAGTGTGCGGTACGTGTCCATTCCGCTTTGAATACGAAATTTACTTCTTTTTTTTTTTTTTTTTTTTTACCCCACACCACCCCTTCCTTTTTTTTTTTTTTTTTTGTTTATTTTACTGCGACGCCAACTCCTGTTTTTTTTTTGTTTGTCTCTTTCCATCTGCTTTTATGCATGCTCGGTTTGCACACACACACACACACAGAGAGGGAGAGAGGAATAAGAAGGGTGTGCGTGTGTGCGTATGCGTACGTCCATCGTTCGCGACTCCGAGAGGCAGGATACACATACATATAAATAAATAGACCGGCGAAATTAAGGCGTGCTGGAAGCGTTATTGTCATTGGGCAAATGCAGGTGAGGACGAGAAGGGAGGGGGTGGATGATTGCTTCGGGGCTGACGAGTCACTTGCGGATATCGCACGTGTCCGCTTGGTGCCGAGTGGCGCGGGTCGTAAGGCAGCCTATGTTTTGTCATGTGACTCCATTCAGTACAACATTCGCCTTGGCTCCCGCTCCGCATTTCTTTTGCGGGGCCTCACGCCACGGCTTGGTAGGTCGCTTGTCACGGGCCAAACGCCGGAAGACGCTGCCGACGCTAGGAATGACACGAAGAATACATATGGCGGTGTGCGTCGCAAGGGCGGTGTGGACACAATCTCATGTGCGGAGGAGGAGGTGCTTGCGGCTCGCATAAGCGCAGATGATGAATTGGACCGTCACGACGCCTTTCTCGATCTCTCTCGCGCGTTGGAGGAGGCCTTTTGTTGGCACGGGGCATTCACGGCCATTGACGACACCGCTGGCCGTGGCCGGTTGCTGATGGCTCCGCAGGCTGCCCGAGAGCTTCCCGCGCGCTGGGTGATGCAGAGCCTAAACGAAACGACGGGGGTGCGGGCAAACCGTGACACCGTGACGCTTCTTGACCGCGGCGAGACGGTCCGTCTCCGCCACGTCCACGACGCCACGCTGTACACCGTCGTGGACGTGGCGAACATGGCTGGTGGGCAGTATTGGGTGGAAATTGCGCCGACGGAGCCATCTACTATGGATTCTAGGCGTGTGGACCGTGAAGACATCATCTTGGAGCCGCCGAGGCCGGTGTATTTTGATCCGCTTCTTCCAGCAGACGAGTTTAATAACATCCGCGGAACGTCAACATGCCTTTTTGTTGCGGCCACACTCGCGTTGCGGGGGATTCGTCTCCCACGCGAGAAGACGATGGTGACGGCAAATAAAATGAAGGAGTTTCCCAAGAATGTGACGGTCCGCATGGGTCACTATGTGCGCGGGCTTCGAAAGAAACTGAGCGAGCGGTGCCTGGCGCGACGCTCGTGCTGTGACGAACCAGGCATGACTTTATCAGGGCTGGTGGAGGTACGCATGACGCAAGACTGTGTGACGTTGCGCTACGGGGGCCGAGCGGTTGAAGTGCTTCAGCGCACTGTCGAGCGGTTGTCGCTGTTGTGGGACGCACGTCTCCAAAGGGAACGGGAAGGGACTGCCGTCAATGGACGCGGAGTGGAGTCTGCACGGAATGTATGGCAATGCGCAGTGACGCAGCAGAGAACAAGTGTATCCGATGGTTTGCATGTTTTCATGACATCTGAGCCGTTTTTCTTACGTGTCTTCACAATGCTTCTGCGCTACCGCTCTCTTTTTGGGGAAATGGGCTACAATCAAGGCCCACATGCCGCCGTTCCACCTCTCGTCATGCGACAGCTGTGTGAGGCCTTCGATGTGCAGTGTGAGGCGTTTGCCAGCCCCATCAACGCACAACTCTCGCATTTCGGTTCTCTTTTTCCGGATACGGATTACTATTTTGGTAGCCTTGGCTCCTTTTTTGACCTCTCACTCGTGGCCGGCCACTATGAAGTGAACCCGCCCTTTGTCACGGCCGTGTTGCAGCGTCTACAGACATGTTTGCTGCAAGATGCACTTGCTTGTCACGACGGCGAGGACGATCCGTCACTGCTTTTTGTGATTGTGCTGCCGTCACACGACTTGGATGACGCGGAGGTGGCACTCCATGACTCCCCAACGCCGCCACAACACCGTCACACTGTGAGGGAGAAGGTCGGCAATATAGACAACAACAGGGATGGCGGCGGTGGCGACGGCCACGATGGAATCAGTAGAAAGCGTGGACGCCCCGACAGCGCTGGTGAGACGATGAGTGTGGAGCGGGCGCTGCGTGAGAGTTCATTTTGTTTGGCCCACGCCCTTTGCGCTGCCGCCGAGTCCGCGTATGTAGATGGACACCAGCACCTTCTGCGGGCACCGCTTTTCTGCATCGGCACACCCACCCGACTGATTGTCCTGGGGAATCGCGCAGCCCGCCGTCGCTACGACAACGCTGCCGAACGACTCGCCGCCGTGAAGGACACGTGGTGCCGCTACACACTGGAGTTCAAGCTGGAGAAGAGAAGGGCGTGACACGTCACTCCGTATGCATCCTTTTTTTTCTTCTTTTTCTTCTTTCTCTTTCTGTCTGTTTGTCTCTCTTTTTATTTTCTTTTCACAACTTCTTTTGCTGTCACGTGACTGACGGTCTTTCCCCAGTTTTCCCCCCCCCCCCTTTTTTTTTTTCTCACTTTCTCTTTTTTCCTTTTTTTTTCTCGGCAACACCCACACACCCGACGTTATATATCTCGTTGCAGTTGGGGGGAAGCGGTGGCCATCCAGCGCCAAAGGAGCGACACACAAGCACGCAGAATAATAATAATAACAACAACAAAAGGAGGGGGTGGTGTACGAAAGCAACAGCGAACACACAAACAGCCAATCAAAAAGGAAGGAGTTATTAAAAAAGGGGGCCAGTTTTTTTTTTTTTTTTAAGCCCTTTTTTTTTTTTTTTCCTTATCTTGTGTACAATGAAGGCACCTGCAGCGCATGTCCCAGTGAAGCGCATTGCGGATTCCAGGCCAAATGAGCGACTCATGGCTTTATTCATTGCCCAGCTAAGGAAGCGTCTTGCGGAGTCGACAAGCCTGGATGAGTTTAATAATTGGATGAATGAACAATATCAGGCTTTGGAAGCCTCACTGTTGGAGCCGCAATCGCTGCGACCGCTTGTGGATGCAGTTGGTGAGGCCGTCCTCACCCCGACGTCTCAGGAAACGCTAACAGAGTGCGGTGACGAATACATTGAACACGGGGTTTACTGGGCCCCGGAGACGCAAGGGAATCCATGCACCACATTTTCTTCAACGACGGAATCATTCCGTGTGAACACACCAGCGAGCATTGGGAAATTAAATCGAGCTTCCCCAAGAGCAGCAAACGCTGCCGAAACCAATACACAAAACTTATTGCAGCATGAAATGAATAGGCTTTTGCTGTCACCAAGAAGTACCGGTCCTGGTGAGGACGTCAAAACCGAAAAGGAAGCACTTTCCGTTCTTCAACTGTCATCTGTGTGGGCACCAAGCATTTTTCACCGTGGTATTGCGAAACCACTGGGCCGCGGCAAACCGTACCGCGGGAGCGAAACCAACCCGCTCGGATTTGGCGACAGTCACGGCAGCGAAAACCAGTCGTATTCAATACTCCCAGACAGCATCCATGGCGCATCGACTGTGAGTCATCGCACTGGAGCGCCGCCCCTTCGGAATGGCGTCTCAATCCTTGACATTGGAAGCAACGGTGACTTTGGTGAAGGCATGCCAGCGTTCTCTCTTGATGGGCGATTAACAAATCAGGGACCAATTTTTTCCCGTTCCTCTTCGCGTCATTCACCCGTTTTTCGCCCGATTGATCAGGTCCAGGAGGCACTCCGCAGCGTCGGGGTTCCATTTCTAGGGGATGTGAACTCCTCCAATGTGGACATATTGCATTATCGGCAATGTTATGGCCCCAAAGCCTACGTGTACACATGTCTGAATGTTCTGCTCCGCTACAACTTTTCTGTGCGGTTTGGCTTTAATGTGCGGCGGCTGTACTGCTTCTACAACACCGCCGTCAATTACATTTTTCCGGGGAATCCATTTCATAATGCATACCATGCATCGGATATTGTTTTAGCGGCCAATCAGTTTTTGTCGGAGCCGCACGTGGCGGAGAACTTCAGTGATGAGGAGCTTTTCAGTTTTCTTTTTGCCTCCACTGTGATGAAGCTGGGTCATGTGGGGATGACAAACGCATTTTTGATTAAAATACACCACCCGTATGCTGCATTGTACGGATTTTTTTCTCCACAGCAGAGCGTTAGCCTTGCATTGGGGTTGACATTGCTAGACACGCCGGAGTGCTGCTTTCCAACCGTTGCCTCTTCACAGGAGAGCGATCACGATTCAACGCCGTCGGTGTGGACACATGAAAAAGGGGTTGAATTATATGAAATGACAGCGCAACTTATCATTTCCACGGATGAACGTCGTCACCAAGTGCTGCTCAATCAGCTTCAACAAATACTGCGGGAAGGTGCGGGGAATGTCGTGCGTGAAAGCCACCTGATGATCATCCTTCAGAATGTTCTTCATGCCGCGGACTTTTGTTATGTTTTTCGTCTTTCATCCGTGTACCGAATTGCCGCCGCATGTGCCGTGGCTGAGGTGTATCAACAGAACCAGACACGCATTTGGCTCACGGAAAGGGGACTGCGACAGTGGCCCTGGAACGGACCTCACGCCGCCACTGCAGGGGAAAAACGGGCCAAGGAGTCAAACAATAACATACTTGGAGGTTTCTTTTCTTGCGAGGGATCTTTCTATGGCATGGGCGAATGCCGTGAACCCGAAAAAGTGCCGTCCATGTACTCAGATTTGACGGAGGGCCTCACCCCCAGCAATCCTTCCCTTACGCCCTCGGTGGGTCATATCGGGGAAGCATCGGGCTTTTCTCCACTGCACCACGCTAAGGTGCTGCAGACGGCGGTTTTGGAGACGGTGTTCCTGCCGTTTATATTTACCCTTTCGCCATTCGTGCCGGACTACTGGTTGACGAATGCACAGAGCAATTTGGTGTGGTTGGGGGAATTCTCTGCGGATGCCTTTGAGGCCGATGTGATGGGGTTATTGCGCCATCCGGAGACCGGCGGACTTCGGCTGCGGTCAATTGGCGCCAATGGCTTTGAGCGTCGGGTGCTTCGGCGCATTGTTGATCCACTTTTTCAGCAACACACGGAGGAGACGAAGTAGTGAAGGAGAGTGAGGGAGAGGGATGCGGATGTATTTTTTTCTGTGTGGTGGTGGTGGTGCCGACACTCAAGATAGGGGAAAAAAAAAAAGAAGGAGAAAACAGAGAATAAAATTAAAATAAAATTAAAATAAATAAATAACTTTAAAAAAATAAAAAAGTGACGGACGGTGCATAGGTGAGAAAGGGAATTGGCTGCTGAAAAAGAGAAGGCGATGTAAAAAAGGAACGTACGGTGGGCCGCACAAAACAAAACAACAACAACAACACACACAATCACACACACAATCACACACATGATGGCATTTATTACAAGAATGTATGTATAACACATCATCTGTACATGCGTATTGGTGTGTATTTGTAATGTGTTATTTCTATATGTGTGTGTGATTGTGTGTATATGTGCATTATTGGGAGTCCGAGGGAAAAGGAAAAGACGCAATGAATGTGTGAAAACAAAATTAACTTTTCCCCCCTTTTTTTTTTTTGTGTGTGTGTGTCCTGCCCTTTTACCCCACAAGCAAGTCAAAACAACAAATAAAAATAGAAGAAAAAAGGAAAAAAGGAAAAAAGAAAAAAGAAAAAAAAAAAAGAAAGAGGACGCAAGGGGATTACAATGGGTTCAAGGAACGTCTTTTGTAATAAATGAATGAATCACGCAAAGGTGTTATTTATATATTACTTTTTTTCTTTTTTTCTTCTATTTTTATTTCTGATATGTATTGCCAAATTTACCCTTTTCATTTTTTATTTTATTTTTATTTGTGTGGTTGTGTGGTTGTATGTTTAATTTATTTTGTCGGCTCCCGCTAAGCCTGTAATTAGGAGGCGAGCTGCATCGATGACCCTTCTTTCCCCTTTCCCCTTTCCTCCTCGTGGCACCTTTTGATGGGATTCACACATGACATACACACACGCATGTTGCCGACGGTTATGTGTGCTCATGAGGCACTCTACGGTGTATTTTTGTAATGAAACCTTCTTTATTTTTATTATAAATAATTGAATATTTATATGGCCGTTTTTTCGTGTCTTTATGTTTTCTTCATCCCTCTTATTTTGTTATTTATTGGTTTACGTTACGTCTTTTTTTTTTTTTTTGTTGCTGTTGTTTTGTATTTTTGTATGCATTTTTTTTTTTTTTGATCGAATTTAATGTGAAGAACTTCGGACACATCCACGTACTTCTTCCACCTTCGTCTTTGTTTGTGCAGGCATGCAGGCAGCGGGAATTGAGGTGCCTTCACTCCTTTCACTCCTTTTACTGATATTTATTTATTTTTATTTATTTACGGAGCGAAAGCACATGTGTCTTTTGCCGATATGAGGGGAAAAAAAACTGAAAGTGGTAGAGATGTGCGTGTGTGCGTGTGGGCGGGAAGAATGTACGACCGGGCGGGGTCTGGGTGGATGGTAGTGTTTTTTTTTTTTGTGGTTGAAGGCTTAACTCTTTTTTTTTTTTTTTTACGAGGATTTGTTGGAGGGCGGCGGGTGGCAGTTTCTTTTTTTCTTTTCTTCTCCCTGTCGTCCCCCTTCCCCCTCCCTGCAGTCCTTCACGCGGCGGGGACTCCGGCGGTTGCGGACCCTCAACGTCATGGACGCCACTCCGCGGGCTCACGACGATCCCCGGGCGTCCCACGAGGTCCCTCCGGACGTGTTGGCTGGTGCATGGGCGCAGGTGTGTGTGTGTGTGTGGAGCCCTGCCCCCTTCCTCCATCCCTTCCTGCGGTGAGACGGCCTCATCCAGGCGCATATTTCCTTGAGGAAATGCGGCAACTGAGAGGCGATGCAGCAATGAAACATGGCGGTGGTTGAAGGGTGGAGGTATTGATGTTTTATTGATGTCATCATGTAATTATGATGACGACACGAGGCCCGCTTCCCCTTCTCACTCCACATGTACACATAACTGCGCGGGTGCGGTGCGATTGCTACCAGAGCGATGGGGGAGGAGAGTGAAGAAAAAGAGAGAAAAAAACATAAACTCCCCAAAAACACAAAAACACACACACAAAAAAAAAACGCAGGGAAAAGAATACCTGCTTTTTTTTTTTTTTTCTTTTCTTTTGGTTTTATTTGCTCTCGTGTCCGAACTTCATTGGTGTGTGTGTGTGTGTGTGTGGTTTCTTTTTTTCTGTTTCGTTGGATTACATTTCTGTCTGCTGCCCCCCTTTTTTTGATTTTTATTTCTTTTTTTTTTTTTTTCTACAAATATGCATGCGGGTATTTTATAAAAATTAAAAGAAAGGGGGAAAAAAAAAAAAGAAGAAAAGAAAAATAAAACTTCCCGCACACCGTTTTTTTTATTTTATTTTCTCCCCCCCCCCCCCCCCCCCCCTTTTTTTTTTTTTTTTTCTCTCGTTCTCCGACTACTTCTATGTGCTCATAAAAGGGTGGGGTGGGGTCCGTGCGGGACTTTTTTTTTTACTTTGCCCCTCCTTTTGGGTTGTCAACGACACCCAAGTCATGACATTGCTTATGTGTGTATACAGGTAACCCTCGTCTCTCTCTTTCTCTTTTTTTTTTTTTTTGGTTTTGCTGCCTTTGAGCCATTTCTAATCTCTCGTTCTTTCTCACGTTTCCTCTGTGCAATGTACACTGTTCTTCTCTACACTTTTTACTGCCACTCACGGTTTATTTATTTTTTTTTTTATTTATAAAAAAAAAAAAAAAAAACTTCTTTCTGCCATACACACACACACACATACATATATACATACATATATATGGGCACATGTTTGGAAGCAACAAGGAGTCGCAAGAGGACGTTTAAAAAGGATTTATATATTTTTTTTTTACATATTTTTTAAAGGAGTAGCGAGGAAGAGGAAAAAGCGGGGGGTTTAAATTTAAAAACAACAAGACAAAACAAAAACAAAAACAAAAACAAAGGGGAACGGAGAGAAAGATATATATATATATATATATATAGAGAGAGAGAGAGAGAGAGAGGGAACGAGAAGAGAAACGGCATCTTCGGCCATGGCGTGTGACCTTGACGAGACATGGGTAGAATGCATGGGTGAGTTCAAGGAATTTATTGGAAAGACCGGCAATCCATGGCGCTGCTACACCTGCGAGGGCGTTGAAAAGGAGACGATGCTTAGTGCACCGGAGGTGATGGACGCCAAGACGGATCCCGGCTGCGGCTACGGCTCTATTTGCTCCCTCAACTGCCTCTTGAAGGACGGCACAATCCCGTCTGCAGCCACGTTAACAGGAGAGGCCTTGTTAGATGTCATGGACCTTATTCACCTGAAGGAACTAAATTATCTGCAGGGGTTTTCTCTCACTTCCGGCTGTCTTGAGTTTTCTTATTTTTTTTGCATGGATTTGTTAAAAGAGCAGAATTTAACGCTGTACACCTACTGCCGTGCTCTTGCCCGATGCATAGATTTGACGACGCGTGCGGTGATGACCATGAGGGTTCGAAGTGATGAGGAGTTTATTCCATGGTTCAAGGCACTGGATCCCGGGGAGGATGTGACGGAGGAACAAATAATGAACGAACTGGAAGAGGCCGCATGCAAGGCGGAGTCCGTCGCCATTGCGGCAAGACTGCGGTGGCGGAAGCTTTTTCTCTCCATTCTGAGCGGCTTTATTCTTGGCAGTAAGAAGTCGGATACGGAGAAGGCGTGTGCCACTTGCCAAGAGGCATGCGATCTTTTGGGTTCTGTTGAATTTCGACGTGAGGCGGAGCCTGTGCAGGACGGCAGGTTCTTCCGTGATGCGGAGGTAGGGTACTGGGCCAGCTCCTTCACTCCCACAAAACCGCTACCATGCGCTCCTTTTGCGGAGGCCTTGCAGACATACAAAACTCTGTTAAGCCAACTTGCATCACTAAAGGATCTTTACATTCTGCCCTCGTTGCAGTGTATCACGGAGTTTGTGGAGGCGTTGGGTGCACGGAAGCCACTGCTGCTTATGAGATCCGTAGCTGTCATTTTGCTCTTTCGCCATGACCCGAGTGAGTCGTTTCTGCATGGCCCATCGATGCCGCATCGCATTCTGCAAGAGCTGGCGGATGAGCATGGTGCCCCGTTGTATCTGAAAATCTTTGCGGGCGATGAGGAGATGCTGGAGGGTGTGCTGAGGTACCGCATCCAAAAAACTATGGATTCCTCGAAAATTCCACCGGATCAATTAATTTTCTTGCGGCAGCAAACCGTGGACGCCGTGCGTTCTTGGGCAGCTGAGATGTCAAGGGTTTATCTGGTTCACCTCGAGGCCATGCTTTGTAACCGCGGCCTCGCCCATCGTCGCCTCATGAATGCGTTGCCACATTTGGGATCCCTGCAGGAGTTGTCGTACACCACCGACAAATCCGTTTTTCTTTCCCACATCCCGTCCGCCTCTCCGGCACTGGAGGCGGAGGCGGCCAAACGCATGCCGCTTCTTGCCATTTACGTCAACCAACATGTTCTCCATGTCATTCAGCTTCTTGTCTTACTGACGTTGGAGCTGAACCTCTTTACCCAGGCAGAGCTGATTCCGGCTCTTTGGTACTGGAATTTCACGCAGAGGGCGCAAATTGAAAACCTTGGCTTGCTGACGCCTCCACCTGCCACCGTGATTCCAGAGACACGCATCAACCGCAGGACCAAAGTGCCGC